TCTTTCTGGAGCCCCGAACAGGGGATAGTTCTGCAAAATCTTTAGGGGGGAAAAAAGGTTTAACCCCTTCACGCTGGCGCCTCCCAGCCCTTTAAGAGTTTCAGAAGCCGGGAGGCGGGACGGGCGGGGTTTAGGGATCATGTGACCGCCGTGACACGTCGTCACAGCGGTCACATGATAGGGGAAAGGTTCCGATCGAAAGACCTTTCCGTGAGTACCGGACATGTGTGCTGGGAGCGCGCGCTCTCAGCACATATGTATTTTGTATATTGAATGCAAATGTGCGGCCGCTCGGCGTCTAGGCCCAGATGCCGGGAGGCCGCACATTTATGTGTGGCCGGCGTAAAGGGGTTAAAGTGTTACTAAACCCACAACAGTAAAGTCAGTCTGTATATGCAGTAAAGCATGCTTATTATACTCCTCTGCATTGTGTAAAAGGCCGTTTGATCCTGTCTTCTCTGCTACTCCTCTTGTTCAAATGTCCATGTCTTATCTCCTGATAAGACAGACTGAACCCATAGCCATTCTACACATGCTCAGTTTAGTGTGTATTGCTCGAGAGGTTTTTTTTATTTCTTGGAAGAGTGCATGTGATCAGCACAGGGCCAATGAGCACTGTCCAGACAGAGGTCAGGGGTTTTTCATCCTCCTAGAGCAGAAAGAAAACTCCGACAAGCTTTAACCAGTGCTCTGCTGAACACTGATAGAAGTCACAAAACTGCTCTAACTGCTGATGAGAAAAGGTATTTAGCGGTTTACATTTACTAAAATAATTGCATTTCCATGTTGTGTGTACTGTGGGAGACCAGATATAGTGAATGCAGGGTCATGGGTTTAGTAACACTTTAAGCCACATTATAAAAGCTGATTGTTATCAGCAGTCCTGTCAACATAATGTAGTTTTTTCCAATCCCTCTGTCATTTTTGCTAGACAGTTTGGCCTATTACAGGAAGTGAAAAACTACTAGAGGTATTGGCAGGATTAAAAGAGAAGCAGGGCTGAGTGATGTTAGCCAATAGCAGACTTCAGTCCACTGTCAGCTGAAAATGGGTCACAAGAGTGCAGAACGAACTGCACTCCTGTGATCCACATGAGCAGTACAGCCAGAAAAGCTCTCGCTGTACTTCTCCTTTAACCTCTTGCCAACCGCGCATAGCCGAATGACGGCTTCACCGCGGCCGGCCAGTTCTGAGTGAACGTCATATGACGTCCTCCCAGAACGCGCTCTCCTGCGCGCCCCAGGGGGCGCGCACCCGGCGATCTCCGTGATCGCTGTGTCCTACGGACACAGCTAATCACGTGATGTGGTGAAAGGCCGATCCCACCGGCCTTTTACCACGTGATCAGCGGCGTCCAATGACACGCTGATCACAGGGAAATGCAAGTGCCGGTTCTCGGCTGCACTTTCCTCACGCTGTCAGATCGTGAGGAAAGTACTGCCGAGAACCGGCAGTTGTCAGAGCGGGCATCGGCACCGATCATCAGGGCACTGATGATCAGTGCCCTGATGATCGGTGCCCAGCAGTGACACCCGCAAGTTCCGCCCAGCAGTGCGCCCACTAGCCCCGCCCACCCATTCCCAGCAGTGCCCCCACCTGTGCCCAGCAGTGCACCCACCTGTGCCACTCTGCAGTGCCACCTACCTGTGCCCAGAAGTGCCACCTACATGTGTGCCCACCACCTGTGCCCACCAGTGCCACCCACCTGTGCCCACCAGCGCCACCCACCTGTGCCCACCAGTGCCGCCCACCTGTGCCCACCCACCAGTGCCACCCACCAGTGCAGCCCAGCAGTGCTGCCAGTCAGTGCCACCAATCAGTGCCCAGGGGTTGTGCCAGTCAGTGCCGCCAGTCAGTGCCCAGAAGTGATGCCAGTCAGTGCCGTCTATCAGTGCCCATCATCAGTGTCACCTATCAGTGCCGCCCATCAGTGCTGCATATCAGTGCCGCCCGTGACCCCTAATTAGTGCTGTCTATCAGTGCCGCCTATCCGTGCCACCTCATTAGTACTGCCTATCAGTGCCCTTTAGTGCTGCCTATCAGTGCCCATCAGTGCCGCCTATCAGTGCCCATCAGTGCCGCCTCATCAACGCAAATCAGTGAAGGAGAAAAAATACCTGTTTGAAAAATTTTATAAAAGAAACAAATACTTTTTTTTTTTTTTTTCAAATTTTTTGCACTTTTTTTAATTTATAGCGCAAAAAGTAAAGCGCCCAGTGGCGATTAAATACCACCAAAAGAAAGCTCTATTTGTGAGAAAAAAATGATCAAAATTTCATATGGGTACAATGTTGCATGACCGCGCAATTGTCAATCAAAGTGCGGCAGCGCTGAAAGCTGAAAATTGGCCTGGTAAGGAAGGGGGTATAAGTGCCTGGTAGGCAAGTGGTTAACAGATAGCCAATGCTTAAAACTCAGCTCCAGACAAAAGGTTTTATCTAATTTTGGGCAGAAGGGTTTTAAGCCTTGTTAGGTTTTTATTGCCATCTGCCTACCTATACACTAGTTTACTACTTTTCCTGTTAGGATAGGAAATCACTTTGATACAGACATAGACAAAAACAAAGTTGTTAGCATTGTGGAAAAGGGTTCGAAATTTTGTATCTTTATTGGTGTCTGTGCCTTCTTGTGCAGGTGACTATTGTTCCCCCATGTTTCTGGTGTAGGTGTTACAGGGAAAGAAGAGAGAAAATCACCAACAGAAATAAAACGGTCCTTCCCAATGGGGTCACCAACAGAGAAAATGTAACTGTCCTCCAACCTCCAATACAAAAAACACATTCCTAAAGATGTTTTGGCTGGAGTGTCACTTTAATGGTTTCAGCATGTAATGCTGAGTTAGACTACAGTATGTTGACTACTGATTTATTTATTGAAGCTTATGGGAGATTACAGCATAGGTCTGTATAATAGGCAGCAGCTTATTATTTAGCCAACGAGTTGATTTTTCTGGGATGTAATAAAGTACTGAAAACTTACTGTGTATGTTCGCTTATAGTGTATAGCACGGCTTATATACTGTTCAGCTAACCTAGGAAATGATCAGGGAAAGTAAATTAAACATGAACTAAATAAGTAGTTGATTAAATGACAAGGCAGTAAAAGCATAACTCCTGGGCATGAACCTGTTGCTGTCAATGGCAAACCAGGTACAAAGGCACTGCTAAGACAGAAGAATGTTTTCAAGCAGCAAACAAGAAGGCTGACAATGTATTATATGCTTTAGACCAGCAGAATTACCAATCAAGAAGATGTAACTCTTTATTGCCCAGGATCTAGTACCTGGAGGGCAATTAGAAATTTAATTGGAGTCGTTTAATGAGAGCTCAATGTAAATACAATTAGATAAATGGCTGAATTTACAGGGTTTGACATTTTTGAAATTCTTGAAAATGAAGGACCAAAAACAGCTACATATTTGGCAAAGACAAATATGTAGTGGTCAAGGAGAATGAGACATCCTATTGTAAGGGGCCCTATGATTTCTAATGGTAGCTCCGTAAATGTGCACCAAGATATGTTTTGATTTTCTGTTCAAATGTGATGTGTCATGCCTTTCTTCAATAAAGCCCTACTGATTGATAAAAAAAAAAAAAAGTTTTGATAGACATCCTTACTGGACCACAAACAGGCTGTACTGGTGATTTAAAAAAATGATCTGAGAAATACAGAAACAAACACAAAGTACACACAACAGAAACAATCTTCACTATTGTGTGCAAAAAGTTAAAACTACTCACCCTGGTGCATCTTCACATTCCCAAAACAGAACAGTATTACATAACAATTAGTTGTCAATTGGACAAGCTCTAGCAGTTATCTGATAATCAAAGCTGATATAAACATGTTATATTTTAAACATAAAATCATTATAGATAGCTTTCAATGTATTTTTCATTAGCCTTCCTTAAAGGATAGTGAAAACACTGACACAAGGTATACTTGATGTTACTGCAAGCAATTTTAATACAAAATGTGTTGTTTATTTAACAGTTCATTGGTACAGCATTATTTTCCGTTGCAATCTAGTTGAGAAAATCACACAGCAGCCTGTTAGAACAGGATGTAATGACAGGTAACAGGAGGGATTCATATCTGCTCTACCACTTCCGCTCCAAAGGGTCATCCTGCTGGAGGGAACCCTTAGATGCATGTGAGGAAGGAACTTTGCTGGCGAGTCCCATTTCACTGATGCGCAACTGTGATCGTTTGTCTACCAAAATGAACATGTCACACAAATTCTAAGTGGAATGACCATTAAATAATAAATAAGAATATACTAGGCAGATAAATAAAACAAATGTAGTTTACAATAAGAAAAATCAAATGAACCTGGGATGAGTGCAAAATGGCTGTGGAGGCGCATATGCTAATCTATGCTGCACCAAAATTTGGAATTTACTGTCACGCAAATGGCTGCTCCCAAAAGGTTAAATGTCCTTTTCAATGGCAATTGCTGTAAATGACTTGATGATAATTGGTACTGTAAGGTCAAAAGCAGAGTGTGCAAGTGCTGTCAATTCAGAAAGCCCTAATGTTATTAAATGAATTCTTTTGTCAGTCTCTGATTCCTCTGCAGTTTAATAAAGTATTGTTCATATACAAAACAGAGGATTCCCTATTAAAGTTTAGTAGTGTTTTCCTAGGATACCAACCCTAAAAAAAGGGTCTTCTACCCTGCAGAGTCAGAACATTAGTTGTCTACACTCCTGTTTCACAATCCATCTTTCTATGAGAGCCCCTGAATCTTCCCAGGAATTCACACAAGGCTTGTTTTATCTACAGAAATATTCACATGGAAGTATTAAGGTACAAAAACAAAAGAAACAGATAAGGCAGTTATAAACATCTTTTTCGTGTACATGTATAGACGATAGAAATTTCCCCACTTAGAACAAGCGTACATCCAGATGTACAGTGCATTTTATAAAAACAAAGCTTATGGTCTGCCCCACTGGCGGGCTTGTTGCTCTTGTGCCCAATGTTTCCTTCAGGTAGGACTATCTCTTTGTGCCCGAAGTTTTAGGAGTGCTGGTAGTTTTCTTTGACATGGTGGGGATTTTGGAAGGTTTAGACAGTCCTCTGCGGGAAGGTCCACCAGTAGCACTGCTCTCTGAGGTGTCTGAGCAGGACTGACTGAGTCTCTAAAAGGTCAAAGTCGGAGGCATCACTTCCTCTCCTACTGCTGGCTCGACTTCCAGTTCGGCTTCCAGCACGACTACTACTTTTCTTCGGGTCTAGATCAGAAGATTAAGAACATGAAACAAAAAATTGGAATGCAACCAAGGAAAAACAAACAAACTAGTTTACTTATTGTGAAAAAGAGGATGTTTGTACTCTCTTTAAAATTCCTATCTTGGGGTCCATTGAGGGGCACAGGAATTTTGAAATGGTTGGGTTATACTGCTGCCTACTGGACAATTAAACAATGACAAATAAAAATGAGTCTACAGTTGTGTCTACAGTTATACAAAACTTCAATTTCATTATGTATGTGTCCTATTTTTTGTTGCTCAAATATGTTACATATAAGCTCAATATTATACCTATATGGTTTGGCTATGGGAAATGGAGTGTGCTATTTGCACTCTCCTGAAGTGTTTACTTTTTTTTTGTATTTGTTTTCTTTTGTCTCTTTTGGTTTGTTTGTATTAACATTACAAAAACATTTAGCAATAATAGTCTGATTGAAAACGAAAATAGTGAACACAAAACTTGTTGACGAGCCTAGCATACCCCTCCTACTCCCAGCATGCCTCAGTTTTGTGGCAAAGCAGTACCAGTAGCATGATCGTAGACACCTAGGGGTGGGACCAGAGTACCTCAATGGACTCCAAGAAAGGTATTTTTCTGCAAGAAGAAAAAATTATCTTTTCATTTCTTGTCCTTTGAGGGACACATCAACTCTAAAACCGCATATCCAAAAGCAGTCCACCTGTAGGGGTCGAAAAAAAAAAGCAGAGAAATGCTAACAGGCCTATTGTAAAACATAACTGATGGGACTGCCTGCACCTCAAAAAGCAGTCTGAAGGACCTCACTTTGAAAGCGGACAACTGATGAGGCCTGAATATGCACCAAGTACAACTTTGAGAACATGACCAGAAGACAATATTGCAGGCTTGTCAATCTGAGAAACAGTAGCCTGATGCTGAAGAGTTCAAGAGGCACTCACAGGCCCAGTGGAGTGTGTTTACAGGAAAGTCTAGAACCTGATCCTTAAGACCAAAAACATGAATAATGGCCTGTGTGAGAAATGGTGAAAAAAAAAAAAAATGACTCACCCTTCTGAGTAACTTTAGGAATGAAAAAAGTGAGGGTCAATCATTCTAAGGAAGATGGTGCTGCACAGTAAACTCTCAGAGCACAAACATCCAGGCAATGGAGGGAGATCACCTTCTGATAAACCGGAGACAGATAGAATACCAATGTTCTGGTTGAGTTGAACCACTGAAACTACTTGAGGTAGGTAGGAACTTATGGGTTTCAACACTACTTTGTCCTTGAATAAAATAGAAAGGGGAATATCTTCTGGTTCAAAAAAAATTTATAAAGGGCAAACAGAAACAAATTAATATCCCAGGAACTCACAGGGCAGCGTACATGGGGAACCACCCTGCACAAAGGTCTTGGGTCATCGAGAGGGCCAGCTGTCTCTGGATCAAGACTGCAAGCACAAAGATCTATCCATTAAAGGTGCTAAGGGCCAAATGCTGATCCAGACCTGTCTGAGAAAAGGCAAGGATTTGTCCCAAAGAGAATTTCCTGGGGTGAGGATTTTTCACATTGCACCATGCAAAGTATGCCTACTATGTACGGTGATGCACCTTGCAAGAAGTGACCTCCGTTATCATTTGTGAATCAAGGAGTCAGAGATGCCTTTGTCCCTCAGGACCTGTGCTTCAATGGTCATGCCAGTAAAGCCAATGGACACCGTGAAGCAGGGTGGTTCCTGAGATAGAAGATCTGGGTGACCTGGAAGAGCCCATATAGCATCTGCTAGGAGTCTTTATCAGGTTGGAGTACCACAACCACCTGGGCCAGTTCAGAGCTATAAGGATTACTGGAATGCTTTCCACCTCAATCCTGGGAAGCAGGAAAGAAAAGAGTTTTAGGGGAGGAAAAGCACAAGTCAGGATTACTGTTTTCCAAAGAGCTACTAAAGCATCCACTGCCTCTACCAGAAGGAAGTTCCCAACTCAAGAGTAGAATTCCTACCTCACCAGGCCAGGAACAATATTGGTTTTTGGTACCGGATAATATCGGTCATTTCTTGGACTGGATGGACTTGTCCCAAGGCAACAGGAGTTGTAAGGGTCTGTAGTGGAAATGGGCAAATTGGACTGCCCTAAAAGAGGCTACCATCAACCCCATGACTCTCATACAAAAGCAAAGAGTCAGGCTACTTTTGGACTCAAGAATCGGAGTCTGGGAGCAAATAGTTTGAAATTTCTTCTGTGGAAGAAAAACTCTGGCCTGAACTGCATCTAGGAGGAGACCCAGATATTCCAAACAGTGAGTTGGTTCTAGTGCCGACTTCTAAAGGTTCAGAACCCAACTGAACCTTTGCAAGGTCTGGGCTATGCTGGCCAACAGAATCTACACCAACTGTTCCCTCAGCAGGAAGTCATCTAGATATCCCACAATGGGAATGTCCTGAGAGTGCAGCAGAGCTAGGCAAGCAGCAGCACAAAGGCAAGCATCTTGGGAAATACCCAAGGTGCAGGAGACAGGTTGAATGGCAGTCCCGCAAGCTAGAAGTGCAGAGGATCCACAACAAAGAAAGAAATCATTGATATATAGGAAAATGGGGACATAGATGATGTCCACAGAGGTCAGAAAGTCTCCCCGATAAAGGAAGGCTGTGCCAGACCTGGTGAATTCCATGCAAAATTTCTAGGCCCAAATGAAGACATTTAGGGCCCTGAGATCCAAGATAGGGTGGATTCCCCTTTTGATGACTGAACAGTTAAGAGCAAATCCCTGTGACTGTTATGTCACAGGGACTGGGGCAAGGATACCCTGCTCCAGAAGCTCCACTAGGACTGTATAAAGATCTGCTAATATTTGTGGTGCATATATTGACCAACTCAGCACCAATGTAACAAGAGTCTTGATTAAAGAAAGAAAAAAAGTTAGACTTTTCTCAGCAGAGCTAAAGAAAAAAAAGTGTCCATCCCCCTAGGACACAAAAAACTGTGGCATGCTGGAAATAGGAGGGGTTTTATTGCGATGGCCCATGAGTTTTTTTGTGTTTGCCCGTGTTCATTCCTCCTGTAGATGGCAGTATAACCTGAGAGTTTCAGAATTTCTGTGCCCCTCAATGGAAAAGAAAGAAATGTATTTAAAGATAAACCTCATGAATATAGAAAAGTCAAAGGTTGCCCTCTTGCAGACAGCATAACGCATATACACTCACCAGCCACTTTATTAGGTACACCTTGCCAGTGCCAAGAAAATATCCCCCACACCATTACACCACCACCAGCCTGAATCATTGATACAAGGCAGGATGAATCCATGCTTTCATGTTGTTTATGCCAAATTCTGACCCTGCCATATGAATGTCGCAGCAACCAGTTTGGCCATTTTCCTCTGACATCAACAAGGTATTTTCGTCAACACAACTGCTGGTCACGGGACATTTTTCACTTTTTTGGATTGTTCTCTGTAAACCCTAGAGATGGTTATGCATGAAAATCCCAGTATATCAGCAGTTTTTAAATACTCAGACCAGCCCAACTGGCACCAACAACCATGCCATGTTCAAAGTCACTTAAATCCTCTTTTGCCCCCATTCTGATGCTCGGTTTGAACTTCAGCAAGTCGTTTTCATCACGTCTTGATGTCTAAATGCATTAAGTTGCTGCCATGTGATTGGCTGATTAGCAATTTGTGTTACCAAGCAATTGAACAGGTGTACCTAATAAAGTGGTCGGTGAGTGGACCTCCGATTCACCTAGACAGAGGAAGACAGATCCCCCTCGTTTTTTAGCAGACCAGATTGAACCAGAGGTAGACAGGTGTAAACAGACACAAGTTAATTTACACCTGTCAGTTGATAATAGTGAATGAGCCATCTGATCAGGTCCACATAAAAGACTGACAGATGGACCTGACTGGACCCCTTTGTGTGAAAAGAGCTTTATTGTGGATTCTGACAGGTCAGGTTGCCTGTTTAACTTTGCCAGAGACTAAATGAGTGATCCTTATAAGCAAAACAATTGTACAGTAAAAATGACAGCAATCAGTCAAATGAAACATGGAACGGAGCTGAGGTACAAGAAATGGCTATGATTAAGTACCTGTAATTTATATCACAATTACAACTGTGTGCTTACACTTACCAGGTCGGCTGGATTTGGCACCAGAAGGTGTGGCTGTACTCATATCTCCTGTGAGGGATGACCGGCTTGTGTGGATGGCTGCTTTCTTCATTTTGCTGCTCTGAGCTGGTGTAACCTTAAAAAGAAATACATATTAACAATTGTTAAAACTGATAATGCAGGCTTGGCAGCTGGATTATGTTAAGTCACTTTTTTCGTTTCTCTGCAGCCTTTCAGGGGAATTCAGGACTAATAATTTACCATGCTGACCTCAGTACAATTCTTCGTTACATCAGTCTGAAGAGACACAAAAGTAGCTTGCCCAGCAGCCTCCCTTAAACCATTCCATATAAGAACACTGCCAGCAGACAATATAGCAGGAACACTATATCTTCCTAAAACGAAGGACATAAGCACTACATATAATGTCAGAAAATATTTTATTTATTCCACACATAGGGAACAAAAGCTTGGCATAGCAAAGCTACTCAATGAAAGTATTTTGATGTGAATGGCATGCCATTCTATTCAACAGCTGCCACTGCTAGTCTGAAAAGTTACACAGCTCACCCACCCCTTTCTCCTCTCCTTCATTCACAAAACTAATACTGCTATTTCCCCACAATGCATCATGTTCTGTGAATGGGTGGTGGAGAGCCTGGCATTTAACGCTTTCTCCATTTCCAGAATGTGCTGCAGCAGCCTGCAAGCAATTGGATACAAACCACTGCACACAACTAATGTACAAAACTAAATTTCAGAGGTTGAAAGATAAAAATATTAGTGGACAGCAGTGTCCCTATCTGCAATCACGGACTAGAACTGCATTTAGGAAATTACATCCCCACGTATTCACAACCCCAGACAGTCTTGCTGTAAAAATAATGTAGCTCTTTATTCTAAAAAAAATGCAACTTACTGCAAGGCAGCAGAGAAACGAATACTTTGCACAGCTTACTTTACCATTTGATATGATTAGCAAAATGGGTGGATAGCCTCTAATAATCTACAACAAAGCTGAAGATTCGGCCACACTTTACTGTGTTTAACAACCTGTTTTATTAACAAGCAAATAGTTTACATTTTGTTGAAACTCACTAGCTAACATTTACCAGTACAATGAGAATTTAAAAGCAAATCTTAATTCTATAGTGGTGTGTCCCATTTTAAAATGAATTTATAAATATAAGGCAGAGACTGTATTAACTGATACTGTAGTCTTTTTTCTATATAAAAATAAACATTTTGGAGACAAGCATGCTATCAGTGTTTTGTTACATGGATATACTGCATACAGATGAAAGCTATTCACTCCAGCATGCTTGATTGCCACTTTCTTATTCATATGCTGAACACCACCAATCTGTTAGAATTAAGATGCAGACAAACAGAATAAAATCACAGTGTAATTAAAATCATGCAAACATGTAAAGTGGAACAACCCATGGTCATTTTAGTAAAGATAGACTTTTTTTTTTTTTTAATGTTTCCCAGTCAATGCTTCTGTTGACATGCCTTTAATCCTTGAATATTAGAATGAAAATAGATCATAATAGAAAATCATACTAATTGAAGATACACAGTACAGTGTTTCTATTCATTCACAATTGTTAGCGGAATAAACATGATGACGGAACAAGGTGTTAGCAAAGAAATGAATGATGGAAGGGAAAAGTGTGGATTCTCCATGGGCTGGAGGACCATACTCTACCTCACATGATGAAATCTGGTAGTCTGAGTAGTCGGAGCCCCTAGAGGGCGTGCTAGCCTTGCTGTTTACAAGCCAGGGCTTCTCGTAACAGCGAGATAGCTGCTGTGGAGTCTGTGAAAGGGGCAACACCACACAGGATGGAGTGGGGAAATGAGTGAAGATGAAGAAGGGAAATGAGTTTGCAATAGAAGATAAACACAATACAATGCCAAAAACAAATCAAACACAACGATAAATAAAGAAAAACAAAGAAAGTTAAAAAGAAACATAAAAACGAAGACAGACACAACCTGACACAATATAGACATTTCATACAGGCAAGACTGTTTCTTATTGTATTTTTGATGTAATGTATCCCACTGCACAGCACTTTGCATTTTATTCATTACAACTATGCTATGTACAAGATGCCTCTCCTTGTAGGGGCCCATATAGCAAAGTAATACAACTTCCAGTTGCCTTCTACATTGCCCAGACTAGTGCAGAGTGTGGTTAAGAGCTCAAGGTAGACTTCAGGTGTTTTCTGTATTGGGAGTGTTGAAATGTCAGCCACTGTGTGTGGGGATGAACAACTGGGTAGGGAATAGTGTATTCCTGCTTTTAGAGGCCTCAATCTAGAGGTTGGAAAACAAGGATTACATACGTGGGTATTGTTTTTCTGCATTTGAGAAGATTCCCAATTATTAAAATGGTGAGTTGAAACAAGAGCTCTGAAGCTGCACTTGAATTTTTTTTTGTTGTGTTTCTTTGTATGTTTAGGCATTAAATGTTTATGCACGCTCATGCGGTAATGCAATCTAAAAAGTAATATGTAGTGAGCGCTCTCAAATGTATACAGCAGCTAGAACACCTCAGGTAACCACAATACCTATAAAATATACGTATATCAATTGTAACAAACAACAGTGCAGCGCTTCAAGAATTGATAAATGGATGAAGAAAAAATGTACATATGTAGAGTCTATGCAATATCCGCGGTATTGTCTGATGAATATACTTCCAAAGTATGTACTGCCTCGAGATAACAGCAATGCGCACTCACCGGAAACGCATGGAATATGCGCATATAGGAGTAATCATCCCGGGTGTCCGATCCGACGAAGATCGAGTGGTGGGCGTCCTATTCACGGTGGGTCATCAGAAACAACACGACAGATCCAGAGGTCCCCTTAAGGTTGGTCACACTGATAGTGTAGATCCCTCTTCTGGCTGATAGGGGTACTCTTTCTGTGGGAGTAGCAGCTCCAAGAAGGAGCCCCAAAAAACAGGTGCCAGAGATAGTGTAGTATGTTCCTAAGGTGATTTTATTAGTCAGACAGAGTAATAGGGTAGTATGCACATCACAGCATATGTGTAAAAGTAAAAAACAGCATTACTGACCCCAGTAAAGATGGCCGCCGGGCCTGCTCTTGGCTTCGGCGGTAGGAAATGACGTCACGCTCTGCACAGCTCCTCCTTAGGCCTTTCGTGCTATAGGCACATCATCAGAGGGGAGCCTCCCCTCTGATGATGTGCCTATAGCACGAAAGGCCTAAGGAGGAGCTGTGCAGAGCGTGACGTCATTTCCTACCGCCGAAGCCAAGAGCAGGCCCGGCGGCCATCTTTACTGGGGTCAGTAATGCTGTTTTTTACTTTTACACATATGCTGTGATGTGCATACTACCCTATTACTCTGTATGACTAATAAAATCACCTTAAGAACATACTACACTATCTCTGGCACCTGTTTTTTGGGGCTCCTTCGTGGAGCTGCTACTCCCACAGAAAGGGTACCCCTATCAGCCAGAAGAGGGATCTACACTATCAGTGTGACCAACCTTAAGGGGACCTCTGGATCTGTCGTGTTGTTTCTGATGACCCACCGTGAATAGGACGCCCACCACTCGATCTTCGTCGGATCGGACACCCGGGATGATTACTCCTATATGCGCATATTCCATGCGTTTCCGGTGAGTGCGCATTGCTGTTATCTCGAGGCAGTACATACTTTGGAAGTATATTCATCAGACAATACCGCGGATATTGCATAGACTCTACATATGTACATTTTTTCTTCATCCATTTATCAATTCTTGAAGCGCTGCACTGTTGTTTGTTACAATTGATATAGGTAATGCAATCTAATAGACTGAATAAATTAATATTCTGGCCAACAGAATGCATTAATGCAAACACAAGAACGTGTCTAAACGAACATGTAAAACATGGCTTTTGGCATGTTTTTTAAGATGCTGTTTTCCCAGCCAGGAGCAAAGTCATCAAGAGGAGGAAAAAATAGAATGTCGGTAGAAGCCTAAAAGTGATTGACTGTATATAGATATTTACAAGATAGCCTATTCTGGAGAGGATGAAGAACAGAAAGTGATGGTTTTCTGCTAACATAGTTCAAGGTAAGAAATAGACTTCAGCCATGTCCTTGAGTTTCTCTTTGGTCAGATAGTTGCCAAAAATTTGCACATCTAAAGTGATTCTGGAAGGATCAGAAATCTGCTAAACTTCTAGCAATGTAGAAAAATTAGTCTAAAAGCAAAATCTTTTTCTCATTAAAACGTAAATTTAATTTTAGTGTGATATATTTATACGTGTATGATGTTAAATTTTTTTGTGGACACATAGGGGTTTATTTACTAAAGCTGGAGAGTGCAAAGTCAGACTCACTTCTGCATAGAAACCAATCAGCTTCTAACCTCAGCTTGTTCCGTTTAGCTTTGGCAATAAAACTGGAAGCCAGTTTTCTTTCCTATGCAGAAGTGTGCCAGATTTTCCACGCTTCAGCTTTGGTAAATAAACCCCACTCTGTCTTAACCCAAAAAAATACACACCTCAGAAACTACGTGCTTCCTAAAGATTCAGCTCTGGTGTCTAAATTTTAAATAATTTGTATAGGAACACTGTATGGTTTTTGTATCTGTCCTCGTGTCCTCTGTGTTCAGGGTTGGACATGTCTTGCATCTGTCACAGTGTCAGCCAGGGCTCTACAAATCTAAAAACATTTTTAAGGAAAGTGCCAAGCATACAGTACCTGTATGAAAAGCAAGGGTGTATGGCACGCACTATATCTTGCCAGTTGACACACAATAAACAGCAAATACAGTTAGTAACAAGAAAGTTTATACACACACGTGGTCATACAGCAGTAAAAAGCTCACACTGCAGATACACTGTGTATCTTATGTTATATCTCTACTAACATACATTGGTGTTTATGCCCAAGGCACGGCCAGGACTTACCTTCGAGCCACTGGCAGGAGTGGCGGGTGAAGATGGGACGGATGTACAGCTATGGTTACTCTGGCTGGCACTGGAGCTGGACCGTGTTGGTGAGGCAGTCCTGGAAGACGGTTTAGACCTTCGCCCTCGGGACCTAAAGGGGGTCATTCCTTGGGATACCCCTTCAGGAAGTATAAATTTCTCTCGCAGCTCTAGATTTGTCCTTCCCCTTGCTGTTCAAAACAAAAGAAAAAGCAAAGTAAACATTTTCTGCATTACTCCTGCGGTCCTATTTAAAAAGGCAAAGCTCAATACCCCATAGTAGCCAGAGATCACTTTTTATCAGTTTAAATGATGAACAGAAAAAGAGGCTTTTTGATAGGTCACTGCATTTTATGCATTGTTCTTTGCCTTAATAAATAAACCCATCAGTTCCATAAAATGGACACGGAGCTTTTTTCAAAGGCATAGCACATAAAACAAGTTTAGTTCAGCAGCACACAAGGATATTAATAAGCACAAACCATGAGACTGAAAATATTGTTAAAGTTGAATTAGTTCAACTGAAGCCACAAAATATTAATCAAAGCCATATAAACCATCTTCATAATAAAGCATAAACAAAATAATATGTCAGCTGAGTAACTATCAGACATCTGGAAAGAGGACAGGATGGGGATCTTTGATATCAAACGCTGAATGAGAACTTGAGAAATGTTACTTTATATTAGCCACAAGATTTAGGTTTAAAAAAATCTGGCATCTTTGCAAATGGTTAAGAATGTGAATAAGCAGTCATTAAACACATGTCAATGACATGTTGTAGCTTGACTAGCTAAATCAGATATGTATTATTTTTGGAAACTATATGCAATTTAGTATAGGATTATACATCTCAACAATGTTTTTTGTTCTTAGGGGTAAGAGTGAAATCTTACAACTCTTCAATAGCTCTCTGATATGGTTTGGTAGTCTTTAAATGGTGTAACATTTTATTATTCTGAAATAGATTCATTAAAAACTAAAGTTGCATATGAAGCAATTGGTACTTTTAATGTAGGATGTTGTCAAATTTCTTGAGCAAAATGTCATAGTCCAGTCATTTTGAAATGGTTTTTCTGGTTATAAAGACAAGCACTTCTACAAAGTCAGAGCTATTACCCAAACCTATGGAAGAGACGGAATCGGTTCTCTTTAATTTAGTCCCTGGATGGTGAACTAAAAAGAATAAAAAAGAGGTGCACAGGGAAAAGGGATGAGAGGTAAGGCATGCAAAATGTATAGCTAAGTCCAGCCAATGAAAGTACTTAAATAGTATACGTGTAGATGTGATGCATAATAAAGAAGAAAATCTTAGCTGGGAATACTGGATGCATCATTAACATGTTATTAAAGTCAGCACATGCTGCATAACACCCACATCAGCCTGCAGACACATGCACCACCACCAACAGTAAGAAAAGCACAGCCATAAGGATTTATATTTACCTCAAACAGCTAACAAGATCACACAATTACAACAATATCTAGAAAAGTAAATAAATGACTGCCCCCTTTCCCCACTGCCATTGCAACTTATGCCTTCTTTACTTTCAGTAGGTTTTACACTGCACTCTTCTGGTTGGATATGAAATGGCTGCACAGCTGAAGCAATTTTTGAAAGAACAGAATACTGTCATGTTTACAGTCTGTTCTGTCCTTCCTTGGGTGCAAAATGCTCCATCTCAATAACAATATATCCATGGCAATATAAATTCCTTGGATATACAGTTAGGTCCATATATATATGGACACAGGCACAATTTGTTTTTTTTTTTTTTTTCAGGTATTGACCAAAACATATTCAAGCTATAGTTATATAATGGATATGAGCTGAAAGTGCACACTCTGAGGTTTAATTTGAGGGTATGTACATCCAAATTTGAGGAAGAGTTTAGGAATTACAGCTCTTAAGAGTAGCCATCCCCCCTTTTTCATGGGACCAAAAATAATTGGACAATTAAATATAATCATAAATAAAATGTTCATTTGTAATATTTTGTTGAGAATCCTTTACTGGCAATGACTGCCTGAAGTCTGGAACCATGGACATTACCAAAGACTGGGTTTCCTCCTTTCTGATGCTTTGCCAGGCTCTAACTGCAGCTGTCTTCAGTTGTTCTTTGTGGGTCTTTCTGCCTTTAGTTTTGCCTTCAGTAAGTGAAATGCATGCTCAATTGGGTTGAGATCAGGTGATATATGGACCCAACTGTATATCATTTACAATAAACCTGTGATATGGTTTACTAGGCAAAGTAACAGTGCTGGTACTTGGTGCTCCCCCTGATGCCACATCAGGCCTTTACATCTCCGCTTTCTGCTGCAATTCCTCACAAATCCCATGCAAATATTGAGCTTAAGATGGTTAATGCATGACAAATAGAGGTTTGAAACTTTTCCCAGAGAGCTAAAGAGGCAGTGGTTGCTCTTGGAAAATATATATGATGTAGCACTGGTGTAGCCTTGCTAGCTAACTTCACTGTAACTCTGCCAAGTAAAAACGTTACAAGTGAAAAGTAATTACCTTCCCCTATGTTTATAACAGCGGGACTTTTGCCAGATAAGAATTTTACTACCGTATTTTCCGGCGTATAAGACGACTTTTTACCCCTTGAAAATCTTCTCAAAAGTCGGGGGTCGTCTTATACGCCGGTATATGGCATGCTGACACTTTTTAGGGGGGCAGTGCGGTGCCACCGCCGCCCCCCCCCCCCCTTCCTTCCAAGGGACACTAAGTACAGGGGTGGGCAGGGGCTGCTGTTTCTTACCTGGCTCCGGTCCCACGACGATCCGGTCCAGGAAGCACGGCTGCTCCTTCATTCCTCCCACGGCTGCACTATTCCTCCCACTGACACCAATGGGGACACGATTCCTCCCACTGACACCAAAGATGGGGCACTATTCCCCCCACTGATACTAATGATGGGGCACTATTCCTGCCACTGATACCAATGAAGGGGGCACTAATTCCTACCCACTGCTGCAACCCAATGATGGGGTGCTATTCGTCCCACTGACACCAATGATGGGGCACATTCGTCGCCCTGACACCAATGATGGGGCACGATTCCTCTCACTAATACCAATGATGGGGCACTATTCCTCCCATTATACCAATGATGGGACACTATTCCTCCCACTGACACCAATGATGGGGCACGATTCTTCCCACTGGTGTGCATTGGAAGAGGGGTAGTCTTATACGGCGAGTATAGCCCAAACACTACATTTTAACAGGAAAAGTAGGGGGTCCTCTTATACGCCGGAAAATACGGTAGTTCTTGTCCCTGCTTTCACTGTATGGGAATTGTCCATGAATTAACTTTTATAAAATATGCTAACAAATATGAGTAAACAACTCCTCAAATTGCAAAACTAAATAAAAGATGAATTAAAAATATAATATAATAAAATATAATAATCAAATCCTTGAAAATGATAGCCTTTCAAAAAAAGGTCACAAAAACCTTCCAGCAAGGAGATGCTTCCAAAGCAATTCCTGAGATCAGACCTCAAAAGAAAAAAAAACTCACATAGTGTATTACCATAAATATGAATGAGATTAAAACATCACTGCAAACGCATGTGAGTCACATTAAAACCACACGTGACCACTACTGGAATAAGTGAGCAACTGTGTAAACGTGTAAGTGAAAACTCTAGTGACACTTGCATGCAGTGGAAATCTCATTCAGTTACACGGAAGGAGCGCTCCTGAGGATCCACAGAGGGTCTGGCTGATTATTTTTACCGCTTTTTATATATGATGGTAATCTACCTTTAATGTTTAATAAAGTTATTTTGGCTTCATATGGACTGAATCATTGCCTAGTTCTATATGGTGGCATGGTTCAGAGTTTATGCATACAGAGGAACATTGATTCATTGGTTTGTTGGCTGATCATGGATGGAATCATTATCTAGCCCATATGGTGGCATTCTGTGAAGTTTAATGTGGACAGAGGAGTACTGATTCATTGGCTGAGCCTATCAGGCTGTTTCTTCATTTGGATGATTACATGCTGATTTATATTCATGCTCTGGTAAGGGTATTCAATCCTCATACTTAGAAGTGGACACATTTCTCACAGTATGAACACAGCATGCAAGGGTCAGTTTTCACTTACACGTTTACACAGTTGCTCACTTATTCCGGTAGTGATCACGTGTGGTTTTAGTGTGACTCTATGCGTTTGCAATGATGTTTTAATCTCATTAATATTTATGGTAATACACTGAGTTTTTTTTTTTTTGAGGTCTGATCTCAAGAATCGCTTTGGAAGCATCTCCTTGCTGGAAGGTTTTTGTGGACTTTTTTTGAAAGACTATCATTTTCAAGGATTTGATTATTTATATTTTATTATATTATATATTTAATTCATCTTTTATTTAATTTTGCAATTGAGTTGTTGTTTACTCATATTCGTTAGCATATTTTATATATAATTTTACACTTTTTGGGGTGAAAAGTGTTTATGTGCGTTTAGGGTCTACATGTTTTAGTAAGGATCACCGTTTATTATTGGCATGAATTAACATTCCCTAATGTTGACTGGACAGCCTGGAATTATTTTTAGAGCTAATGCAGCCCACATGAGAGTCATTATTTTTCATTCAACCAAATTACTCGATTCTCACATCCACGCACTCAATATGGATGGGGGAATCCTCCCGCTGAGACTTTGTATTTTAACACCATGTATTCGCCACCATCAGAATACACTGATCAGAGCTGCGGCTATAGCCTGCGATGCTGATCGAGTGGGAAAAACTCGACAGTGTGGTTGTACAGAAGTAGATCAACTTCTGTACAACCAAGGAGCCTATACATGAATTAGAATGTGGCCAGTCCCTGCTGAACCGGCCAAATTTGGATCCATGTATGGCCAGCTTAAGGTCTTTGCAATCACGGTGAAACTGCCTTATCAAGGCATGAAGGCGAGAATACCAGTAGATCCAGATCTTTAAACATTTCTAGACGTATAGGTGGCTTGCTTTTCACTTAGGTCTAGTTGAAAGATGAACGTTCTTTTACCTATTGCCACAATACCCAAACT